TTCGCTGAGTTGGCACGGGGCGGACAGATACAACTGAGTATCGTCCACATATTGTTGATATTTGATCCCGTGCCGACGAATGATCTCACCCAGCGGCTTCATGTAGATGTTAAATAGGACGGGGGACAGGACCGATCCCTGAGGCACCCCATATTTTAGGGGCCTAGGGGTGGACCTCTGTCCTCCAACCAACACCGATTGCGACCTATCTTGAGAGGTAAGAGGAGAACCACCGTAACACGGTGCCTCCCTCATGGCCTAGCCAGGTCTCAGTAATACATGCCAGGTCTGCCCCCTTGTCTAATATTAACGGACGAGGGGAGCTTTCTGAATCACAGACCTGGCATTTAGCAGCAGCAACCTGAGGCCAGGGCCCTGGCATCTCTTGCCACCTGGTCCTAAGGTTGAGTTTTCAGGGCCGGAACGAGGGATCGCTGTAATGTAGCGATCCCTCCTTCCCCGGTAATGGCCCGCTCTGGAACTCCAGTCGTGCCTGCCTCTCCCAACCATGACCGGGATGCTCCGGCCCGTCGCCATAGACCCCCCTCCCCTCCCATGTCCCCCGATCTCCCCAGCAGGCCATTCGTATCATACACTCTGGGACGAGAGGCTGGACCAGGCCCCCATCCAGTTCTGCTTCTGCACTCAGTGTATTTTTGTATTTCATATTATAAACTAATAAAAACTGTAAACATGGAAGGAAATGGATTAGAAATACCAGACTTGTTTTTTTTAATGCTCTTGTGCCCTATTTGGCGATCCATCTCTGTCCACAAGAGGGCATGGTAGTTAATTCTAACTATCCTAGTTTGTTTCAATAAATACACATGTTTTTCTGCAATGAAGAGAACACTCAGTCCTGGGACTCCTTAGCCTTTACTCGAAGTAAGTAGTGTTTCCCAAACGGAAACGGGTGCCCCACTTAGTTTCAGAAGAGGGTTTATATCTCTATTAGCAGTAGATGCCTAAACTCCTCCAAAATTCAGGAATAACCCATTCTTCCTCCTATCCCATTTTCTGATACAGGGGACATGATGAGTCTGTTTTGAATAAGTGCAGTATTTAATAAAGGAGGCTAATTTTAGATTTCTATCTAAAATTATCATGTATGTCTGGGAGAGACACTAGGCTGGAGACACCAGACCAGAATGTCAGAGTTGGAAGGGACCTTGGAGGTCTTCTAGTCCAAACCCCTGCTCAAGCAGGAGACCCTCTAACATTCCAGACAAGTGACCGTCCAGTCTCTTCTTAAAAGTCTCCAGTGTTGGCGCTCCCATAACTTCTGAAAGGAAGCCCTTCCGCTGGTTGATTGCTCCACTCTTAGTAAATTCCTCCTTAGTTCCAGATTGCTTCTCTCCTTGGTTAGTTTCCATCCATTGTTTCTTGTCTTGCGGGGACAGGTGGGAAATTATTTGGGATGTTCACCCTTGAGGTCATGTTCATGGAAAACACCCCAAAAGCACAGCATAAGAGGCAAGCATGGCTGGCAAATCATTGATCCAAACGAAGCGCTTCTTGTTGGCCTTCATGAATAGCCATGTGTTGTTTGCAGGCCATCGGTGCCACCTTTGCAGTGATGATTGGAGCTGGCATGTTGGTTCGATCCATAGATTATGAAGAGAGTCCGATCCCCAAACACCTGGCATGGATGCTGCACGCAGGTACTCGCCTTTATGGTTTTCTTAAAACACGCTGACCTCCTAATGCAATGCATTTTGGGGAAATCCCTGCCAGATGCTTTCCTGTATTTTGCCTTTTTTTAGATTTTTTTCTGCAGAAGAATCTCATCAAACTTAGCTTGTTGAGTTAGCAGCTTTGGAAGCTAAGAAATGGTTGTGTGGGTGGAACAGCCTGGAGTCATGGTGTCTCATTGTGTTCAAGGAAACGTATACCCATCATCTGAACCTCATTTGGTATAATTGGTAGCTGGGCTGTATAATTTTAGCATCTTGTATTAGAAGTATTTCTGCACACTGCCGTATGGTGTATGGATTGCCTACAGTAGAAGAAAAATTAAAGGGAGGGGGAGTTTGAAACATGGTGGAAATGGTGGTTTTGAGACTCAATGTTGGATTTAAACCTACAACCACACACATTCCCAATGCCACAAGAGGCATTTTCTAAGGAGCTTCTCCATCGTTCAGGCCACGGTTGTCCCAAAGGTGCTATTTTTTCAAGAGGCAACTGGACTTTCTGGTTTTCCTTTGAAGACCTTTCACTTCTCTTGCTTCTGAAGAAGAAGCTGCTTAGATGAGAAGCAAAACGTTTTGAAAGAAAAAACCAGAAAGTCCAATTGCCTCTTGAAGAAAACCCCTGCGGTACTTTCATTCATTACCTGCCAAACCAAAACAAATGATTCCCCCGCCCCCAACCAGTCAGAACTGAAGAAGCTGCTTGGATGAGAAGCAAAATGTCTTCAAAGAAAAATCAGAAAGTCCAGTTGCCTCTTGAAAAAGCAGCTATTCCTGGGAATATTCTTGTATTCTTTTCTTGTATTAACTTTTTCCCAGAAGAGGAAGGAATGTCTCAGGTTAGATGAAAATTGATGGGTCCCTGTGACAGTCAGGGTTAGGATGCAGGGTCCATTTAGTACTTTTAAAGAAATCACAATAAAATAATACATGAGTTGAATAAACAAAGCTGCAAGGACTCAAGGTTTTTCCCCCCCTCTTTCCTGCCGAATTCCCACTGGCATATCTCTCTCTCTCTCTCTCTCTTCGCACAGGTGTTATGGGTGCCGTGGTGGCTCCTCTGACTCTCCTTGGCGGCCCCCTCCTCATCCGAGCTGCTTGGTACACGACCGGCATTGTGGGAGGCCTTTCCGCCGTGGCCATGTGCGCCCCCAGTGAGAAATTTCTGAACATGGGAGCCCCGCTGGGCGTGGGCCTGGGGCTGGTGCTTGTTTCCTCCGTGGGTACGTAGATTGGATCTCCCAAGAGAGAGGGGGGGCCAAAGGGCCCCAGGTGCCCCTGGGTCTGACGGTGGATCAGATGTGCTGTTAGTTCTGGAAACATTTCAGTGTACAGGTAGTCCTTGGCTTACAACCCCAGTTGGGGCCAGAACCTCCTTTGCTAAGCAAGGCATTTATTAAGTGAGTCAGATCTGGAGGGGGGGGTGTGTGCGTTGTCCTGATCTTTTCTGTCATGGGTGTTCATTGAATCCCACCGCTTCTCCCCTCGACTTTGCTTGTCAGAATCCTGCTGGGGAAGGAATAAATGGAGATCACATTGTAATGATAAACAAGTAGTCCTCAGCTTACAACAGTTCATTTAGTGACTGATCGAAGTTGCGGTGGCACTGCAGTGAGAGTTACGGCCCTTTTTCCGCATGACTGTCCATGGTCACTTTTCATCAGAATTGAGATGCTTGGCAATTGGCATGTACCTCCCCCAAGGTCACCGGATCCCCTTTGGCGACCTTCCGACAAGCAAAGTCAGTGGGGCAGCCAGAATCACGTAACGACCAGGGTACTTCACTTAACAGCTGCAGGGATTCATTCAAAAATTGTGGCAAGAAAAGTCGTAAAACGGCAAAATTAACAGATGACTCCTTTAGCAACAGAAATGTTGGACTCCATTATGGTAGTAAGTCAGGGACTACCAGTAATTAGCTTTTCGGGCAACCAGAGATCCTGCTGAAGTAACTTGCATGGCATTATTTCTGCCATTTTGTGGGGTGGAGGGTGGAAAAGGTGGGTCCTCCACTGACTGTTCTGCCCTCGGGGCTGCGTGTCTTCCAGGATCCATGTTCCTGCCTCCAACTTCCATCTTGGGTGCTGGCATGTACTCGGTGGCCGTTTATGGAGGGTTGGTGCTTTTCAGCCTGTTCCTGCTTCACGACACCCAGCAAGTTATCAAACGTGCGGAGAGTCAACCATACCTGGTGGTCGGAATGCGGAAATACGATCCTATCAACGCGTAAGTGTTGCTGCTCGCTGGATGCAACGTTAGTCGAGCCCCAGCTGACGGTAATGCGGAGCCTGAGGAGAGATCCACGGCTAGCAAATGGCATGGCATCTTGATGATGCTGATACTGATAATAATAACAACAACAATATAATTCCCATTAAAAACACAGCCTTGGGCACTCGAAAACCTTGCTTGCGTCTATCTTGGATTGGCCATTGAAAACAGGAAATTTGAAATCTTTGTGGGCATATGACCAGGTATACAGAAAGAGCTGGAAGTGACCTTGGAGGTCTTCTAGTCCAAGCCCTTGCTCAAGCAGGAGACCCTATGCCATTATCAGACAAAATAGCTGTCCAGTCTTTTCTTGAAAACCTCCAGTGGTGGAGCACCCAAAACTTCTGGAAGGAAGCCGTTCCACTGGTTAATGGTTCTCACTGTCAGGAAATTTCTCTTTCGTTCTAGGTAGCTTCTCGTTTCGTTTCCATCCACTGTTTCTTGCCTTCTGAGGCTTCACTCTGAACTCCTTTGCATTTCAGCTTGATTAATAAGGCCTTCTTGGATACTTTTTAAGTAGGATTGTACAATACATGTTACTATGAACTGTTTTCAGCATAAACATCCCATTTCAAATGTAAATCAGTCATTGTCTGTCAGGGGGAGGGGGTCATAGGTTCTTCCGCATCATAGCATTTCTGCATAGGAGAAGGCAGATTTTTTTTAGCAAAGTTTTGAGGTTTCTTGCTTTGTAACAGCATAAGGTGAACCTCCTGCCTGCCTATTAATGATTGTTATTAATGTATTATTAATTGCATGCTAATGATTGTTCAAAAGTCAGCCTTTTATTGCTTAAAATTTAAATTCAACTCAAACCCAGCAGATTCTGTTTTTAAAGAGCTCAAAGCTCAATATGGACTGTTAAATTGATGGTTTACAGCAATGTTTCTCAAACTTGGCAATTGGAAGATGTGTGCATGTCAGCTGGGGAATTCTGGGAATTGAAGTCCACATATATTCAAGCTGCCTTGGTTGAGAACAGTAATTTTCAAGTAGGTTTTTCAGAGCTGAAAGAAAACATATGGGCAAGTCAGCTAATAAAAATGATATTGAGGAGTATGTTGAATTTATTTGCGAAAGAACAGTTAAGTGACTTTAGTTGAAAGAGTACAAAACAGTCCAACAGTCAAATAAATGTTTTATGGCTGAACTCTCTCCAACGAATCTCCTTGTATCCTCCTTTCCAGGTGCATGGGCATCTATATGGACACCCTCAACATCTTCATCAGAGTCGCTACCATGCTTGCAGGCGGTGGTGGCAGGAAGAAGTAGATGCAGCTGCACTGATGGGTCACCAGTCAGTTTCTCTGCTTAGCGCAAACTCGAATAAAATGTTTGTTGCGTCCAAGCAACTTTCATGTAGAAGTTTGACATTCTAAGCCCTCGGTCTCAAAATTCTTCTTGGTCAGCATGACTTAGGTCTTGGTTTCCAGTTGTAATTTGTAAAGCATCCAGTGGTAACTAGTTTGCACGTGCCACTCAAATCACTTTACTCGGGTTGGAGAGGTTTTTGAAATGGAAGAGAAGTTCATATCAGTAGATTTATATCTCTAGCAGTTGCTACGTTTGCTTCTACTTTCCAAAGGGGACTCCCTGCCACTCTGCTCAGGCCTGGAAGACCATTTATACTCTTTATCAAGAGCTGAATTCAGCTGTGGATTCAGAAACTACAAAAATATTATTTAAATGGAAATTGCTACCTGCAATTGGCTTCTTTTGGAAGAGGCCTCGTGGTGGGAATAGGATGTAGCGAAGGAAGAGGGTGGAAGCAGAGCAAAGCGTTCTTTTGCTCTGCCCCAAACTCCAGATGGACCCTCATCTTCAGCCACTTTTTTTTTCTCAAAATCCTCTTTGGCTGGTCCGTCCTTTTGACAACTGGATAGGGATTTCTGAAAGAATATTAAGCAGGACTCTTTATTTAATTCCAGAATTGTAGGCTGGGGGAAAATAATTATGTAAATCTACAAGGGAGAAAATAAATACAAAATAGTGTGAAGCTCCCAGCTTCTGTGATGCTCTCGTTCTTTCACAGATAACAGCAATTCTGTGATGTATAGTTATCGGGTCTTACTAAATAAAGTCCTTGCACAACAATTTGTAAGTCGTGTTGTCTTTGTCATCTCACACTCTAGAACACATCTTTTGAGATCCATTGGGAGGGACACACAGCTTCCGAAATTATCCACATGGCCACAATAGTCGATGCAACGTTAGAAAATATTGCCCTGTCGACACTGTAATTAATTTATAGATGTAATACTACTAAATAGGCCACAGCGAGCTCTAGATCTAACCAGATCTGCCAGAGATTCGGTCAGCCGACAGTGGATCTCTTTGCCTCCCCGTTGAACACCCAGCTTCCAAGGTTCATATTGTGGTTCCCAACACAGGGAGCGATGGATATTGACTCCCTGTGCTGCAGTTGGCCATCAGGACTTCTCTATGCCTTCCCCTCCTTTCCGGAGTGCTGAGGAAGCTAGTGCTAGAGAGGGCAGAGGTCATCCTGGTGGTTCCCTACTGGCCCCATCCCTAGTTCGCAGATCTGATAGAGATATCAACCTTTCCCCATTGGAAAATCCCTCGAGGGGAGGTGACCCTTCAGGGGAGTCTGGTCCACCCAGACCCAGACTGGCTCCAATTGACCGTCTGGCGCTTGAGCGGGAACAATTAAGGGAAGCCCAGATTTCCCCCAAGGTCATCGGGACCATCGAGGCTGCCAGGAGAAGATCCACCACTCGCATCTACAACGCGACCTGGGTCTCCTTTGCGTCCTGGTGCCAATCTGCTCAGGTAGAACTGGAATCAGCCACAGTCCCGCAGATACTGGATATTCTCCAGGATGGACTGGAGAAAGGTCTGGCCCCCAGCACCCTCAGAAGGCAGGTTTCAGCCCTTGTCATTGTCCTGGGAGGAGTGGGTACACAATCCTTGTCCCAACTTCCCATCATTAAGCAGTTCCTCAGGGGAGCAACCAACCTTCGGCCCCTGGTAATCCACCGCTTTCCTTCATGGGACCTACCCAGAGTGCTCCAGGCACTCCTAGAAGCACCATTCGAGCCCCTGAGGGAGGTGAGTCTTCAGCTTCTTACCCTTAAGGTGATGTTCCTCATAGCCACCACCTCCACCAGGAGGGTGTCAGAGATCAACGCACTGTTGGCTAGGGCGGATCTCTGCACCTTTCACAGCAACAGGGTTGTACTCAGGCTCGACCATGCCTAAGATTAATTCCCCCTTTCATAGTTCTCCCAGACTTCTGTTCTAGAGGAAGGGAGAGGTCCTGGGATCGTTTTTATGTTAGGGCATTGCGCATCTATCTGAAGTGCACGTCTGTCATTAAGCGGTCGGAGGCCCTCTTCGTTTCCTTTCACCTGCAACCAGGGGAGCGAAGGTCTCTTCAGCCACCATCAGTAGATGGAACAGGCTGGCTATCTCCAAGGTCTACGAGGTGCGAGGCCTCCCAGTGCCTGAAGGCATCACCGCACACTCCATCAGGAGTGCAGCCACCTCCGTGGCCTGGGCCACCAAGGCTCCTATCGAGGACATTTGCACGGTGGCAGCATTGGCTTCGCCCTCTCCCTTCATCAGACACTATCGGTTGGACGCCTTCGCCTCCACGGAAGCATTCTTTGGGAAGAGAGTTCTCCAGAAAGTGTTAGACACTCAGGGGGACTCAGGCCCCGTGGCTTTGGTATGTCCCAGCTGTGACTCCTCCCATGCTCCACTGCAAAGACTGTCAGTTCATCTTACCTGAACTGTATGTCTCGAAGGATGGCATGGGAGCAGTCACTTCCCGCCTGCAGTGCGCCCCACGCAGGTTGGGCCTAAGTTCGGATAGTTCCTGGTCAGTCAGGGACCAGAGGGGGAGTGGGGGAATTGCCCTGTTCCCTTCCTTCCAGGTTCGACTTGACTGGACCATCGGTTAATCTGGAGAGTCAGAGGAGGAGTAGAGGGAGTGGCCTCAAGATTTACCTCAGTCTCCGGGCAGATGGGCCATGACAATACCCAGCTGTGACTGCTCCCATGCCATCCTTCGAGACATGCAGTTCAGGTAAGACCAACTGACACTCACTCTGATAAAATTTCCATGGCCATTTGAATCGGATGATTTAAGTTGGCTTACAAAATGAGCAGTCTCCAAATGGAATCTGTTAAGTCCTCGAGGCTACGACACCATTGACTTGTATTGCCAGTTCCTGATTGGCTAAAATGCGAGCAGCCAGCTGGTGGGAGAATCTAGCCTTTCTATTGGTTAAGCATCTGACAGCTCCAGTATAAAAGGGCTGTCAGCTGTTAAATGTTTTGCTGTTTGCCGGTTCGAGGTTTGCGTTACATTGAGCTGTATGTTACTGTAATAAAAGGTTGTGTTAGCTTCAACCTGCCTTGCCTCAGTTCCTGTCTGCCTTGTTCTCCCTACATTTTTCATTTTTTTTTTCATTTCATTTTAATGACATTTATAGGCCGCCCTTTTCCCTGAGGGGACTCAGGGCGGCTTACAATAAATAGGAAGGGGGTGCAAGACAAAACACAAGAAAAGAAAAAAAACGTGTGAAAAAAAAAAAAAAAACCAGTAAAACACAACATTCATTCAGCATTCGGGTGGGGCGAAGTTAGGGTCTTATCC